TATATAGGATTAGAATTTAATTGAGTTATCTTGAATTGCATTCCTATATAGGATTAGAATTTATTTGAGTTATCTTGAATTCCATTCCTATATAGGATTAGAATTTATTTGAGTTATCTTGAATTCCATTCCTATATAGGATTAGAATTTAATTGAGTTATCTTGAATTCCATTCCTATATAGGATTAGAATTTTATTGAGTTATCTTGAATTCCATTCCTATATAGGATTAGAATTTAATTGAGTTATCTTGAATTCCATTCCTATATAGGATTAGAATTTAATTGAGTTATCTTGAATTCCATTCCTATATAGGATTAGAATTTATTTGAGTTATCTTGAATTCCATTCCTATATAGGATTAGAATTTATTTGAGTTATCTTGAATTCCATTCCTATATAGGATTAGAATTTAATTGAGTTATCTTGAATTCCATTCCTATATTGGATTAGAATTTAATTGAGTTATCTTGAATTCCTATTCCTATATAGGATTAGAATTTAATTGAGTTATCTTGAATTCCATTCCTATATAGGATTATAATTTAATTGAGTTATCTTGAATTGCATTCCTATATAGGATTAGAATTTATTTGAGCTTTATTAAATTGCATCCCCATATAAAGATTGCAATTTAATTTATAATCGCCAATTGTGGTTTGGTGGTAGCCATCGATATGTGGTGATTGCAAGTAACATTGAATATACGAATATACGTTTTTTGTCTGAGTACGTCATACTCGCCGCTGAGCCTCGTTCAAAGACAGTCGTACATTAGTCACTAAAACCGCCCTGCAAATGTAGATTAATCTCATCAAGGTATGACAGGTAACTGTTTGGCTCGAACACCATGCGCACTGTGAACGTGAACCAACTTCCAATGAGCACCGGCATGTAGTTGCTGTTGTAATCTGGTACAATGTCACGCACAACAGAAACCCGTCAAATGGTTTGGTGTGTTAAATACGAGTCTGTGTCGCGTATGGATGTACACAGATATACTACAACTGAATATTGGATACTAGTATCGTGATTTCCCCTAATTCTGGACGGACACATAACTATTATGTCACATAGCATGGATATCCACTGTCAGTAGTTTTAATTTAAACAGATTGTAATTTGAGACAAAATTCACAATATATCCAGTGAATGGATTTTCTGCAATTTTGTAATAAATATATAATTCGAACTGCTTCTGCATTTTCTTCACTCTGCATGTTTTATATCAAAGCATAGTTTTCTCAAATTACACTTCTTCGGATAAATAAATCTATATAATTTTTGCGATTCTTAACGTTACGTCATACATTTAATTTCTTTATTTAACTTCACTCTTTGTATTTTTTTAAGTCAGAATTTAAAGCAAAACATTGTCCACTCTGGCTGATATACCATGTGTAGTCTTACTTCAGCTGTATTTCGGAGATAAAGCGCATTGTTAGATCATGAATTGTACCATCACAGTATCTAATTGGCATTTCATTCCAGTCAGGTTATGTCTGCATGTATTGTGTTTATACTATTTGGTAGACATGACCTGAACTTTTTCGATTTAGTTCATGACCTCTAGGTAAAGAAGTTCATTTGCGGATGGTTTTAAATATGTTGTTGTTCACATAAAATAATGCTACACTTGTTTTACTTGCTGTTTGTTCGGATTTTTTCTGACTCTTAATACGAAGTGTGTGTCTCATTAGACAAAATTAATTTATACCCATTGCCTTACCTCTAATGCAAACTAAATGTAATTCACTTCAGAATGATGACATCCTCGCTTGCCTCTCAGTAAAAGTACTGCATAATTGAAATACATCGACACATTGTTATGGAAAGCTTACTGTTCTTTCTGAAGTGTTCTTAACAAAAATACCGTATTCAAACATCATGAACGATTTTAACTTTGAATAGGCAGCCGTCGTAGAGGAACAACGGTATCAAGCGAATCGGAACTTTTCAAGTTATTCCCATTGTTGCATTGAAAACGCTTCATTAACACAAATGAAGAAACCGGTAAGACCATACATCAGCATTGCTAGCACGGAAATACGAATATTGACCAAAACCCGAAAGTTGGACAGCCGTAACGAAATAGACAATGCAATAATCGATGAGTATTATTAATAGGAACTGTGTAATGAATGATGGCACTATGTGCATTTCTATTATACATTCGCTTGTGAATTTCTATGTGTACTTTTTGCTCGACATTTCTATAATAGTCTACAGCGAACGATTAACATAATACACAAATTTAAAATACATGATTTACTTGTTTGTTCCTGAGACCAATGTAAATAGGTCATTTTTTAAGTATACCTTATCCACCGAAGATTTTGAAATGAGACTTGGGTCGCCAAAAATGCAATGATGCGAAAACTTTGGAAGAATTATGGGTAACCCGTAGCAATGCTAGTTTCTCGAAGACGGGGAGCCGCCTACTTTGATTTTGACATCATAATATTTACTTTGTAAGAGCTATCGATCACTCTTTCTAATAGCAACTGTTCCTACTTTTCTGTGACCGTTAACACCTGTTATAACCATAGCCAGACGCTACTAGTACAACACGGCGCACATATTGTGATCTGTAAGGCACTTGTTAAACATTCCTAACCACGAACGGATGGCAAAGTAAATACCCAAAGGGCCACTCTAAACCCGCCTACATTTCATCACAAACGCGAGAATGATCTGTGCAATTCGCTAACGGGGACGACTCCTGTGCACAATAATTATATTATATCGGATATCGCGTTTGACAATGTCAAGCCTGAAGCTTAAAACCTTCACAGAAAACGTCTTCAATACGGCGGGCTATTATCAACTAGTACTTGTACAACCTCTTTGCCATAATAACTATTACTACCTATAACACTACTTAAAAATAATCCTACCGTAGATGTCAAAAGCTAGTTATACATTATGTTTTATTAGCCAACTTTTCTCAATTAAGTAGGTGACTTTTGATAGAGCCGGGATTTTGAGTGAGTGACCACCATCGACATATACCCAAATAAATGCAAAGACAAAATCTCATTGACCAATCACGTGACGTTACGTAATTGACGTCGTAATTTTTAATGTTGAATAAGTGTTCCCGTGGCATGGTGCGTGACGCTTGCAATACGGTTCTCAGGAGGAAGTAAATGATGTGTTTAGTTTTTAAATACCCATGATGCATTAGTTTTATTTCGAATGTATAGTGTACGCATTTTACCGTAACAGTTGACGCTGGGGTAGTCTAATCTTAATATGGTTTAACATCAAACATAATATTAGTATTGTATGTGCAATCATCTTTGTGCCGAGTTACGGTCTTGCCTTGCGGTGACTGCGGCGGGTGAGCAGAAGCGATGCCGTGGTGAACAGTATTGCAGCTGCTAGTGCCATCCTCTCTTTAACTGCCGGTTAACACTATCCATAGGCCACGGTGTCAATATAAATCGATTGCCTTGCGGGAGATATGGCGCTGAAGGGGGTAAGAAAAGTACGTGGCTAGCGTGACAAATACACCCACTAACTAACATGGTTCAGGATAAGGTAGCCGTGCGGGAATATAGTAATAAACATATGAGTTCACTATGATTCTAAACAATTTCAATTAAAACACGAGTAATGGAGATCTACGCGAGATAAGAAGGTATTCATCATTCGCATAGTCCTACGCATCACTCAGAATACTCAATGTGATGGTATTTTTATCGCATTTATTAAAAAAGTGAAACGGTTGGCCAATGCGCACTTAGAAACGGGACAGATTGTCATCTTTTTTTTTTATTAAACAAAACAGGGACTGGATAACATTTAATTTCAATATAGAGTTTTACTAAGCGGATATGACGTCGCTCGATCACGGCAACTCAATCCGGTCTGTTGAGCTCGTTGGCATCTCGCTGTAAACACACGAATGTGAAGCGTTCCGATTCAGATAAATACTCATGCTTAATGTGCGATGTATACATTGTCTGTGACCGTTCCACTGCAACTGATCGGGGGCAGAGGGCATTCGGCGACGACTGATTAGAATTCAGAAGACGTGTCCTGGCGCAATGTACAAACATGTTTATTGTAAGTCTTTCTATATTCCATCGTGTTTACGAGTTCACAGTAAAAGTTTGATTTATACAGTCGATGATTAATGGCCGTGGAACAATCGGGTTATGATATTACAATATTCAGCATACTCGTATAATGTAACCAAGGGAAACGGAACCGTCGATAGAGAAGGCGTACGTGTTTTAATTCTGGTCGCTAAATGTATTGGTTACCAACGGTTCGCAGTTATGATGCCTCGCTCCACAATGGTGCAGGTTTTTATTTTGAAAAAAAAGAATAGACTTCTACGCATGAAAAGCTTCGGCTTATTTAAGTGAATCAAACTCTGTAAGATTCGTCTTTTCGGTGAACCGCTTTTCAAAATCCTTTTGGAAGGAAGCACATAATGCAATTGTATGTCCTATGAATACGGGTGACGCATATGTGCTGCGTGCACAGACTCACATCTATTGTAAGCTATTATGGATTTAGAAGCAATCATTGTCAACCGGGCCTATTGTTTTCCAGCGACGTCAAGATAGAATGCGTTGAGTCTCATTGAGATTCAAGCTGTGTCGTTTGCATCTTACGGTGCTAACGTTTCACAAAGACAGGGGTGGTTGTTTTGGTATACTGTCAATTTGAGAATTCTAGGCTCGGATTTTTTTCACCAAAGCCACGCACAACTGACTACCCTCTCTTTCTCTCCGCAACAAGCATTTCACTTGGAAGAGGTTTTACCTGTGGTTTCACATGAGTATCGAGAAACAACTTCGCGAGGAGTTCACGATCGGCAGCTGCATCGCTATATAAATGCGGGACCGTCTTTGTTGTGTTGTCAACGTTAAACTCCATATCAATGATGGCGATGTGTTCCCATTGGGATATTTAACGCTTAGCCCGTGTATATTACAACGACGAAGAGGCCGGGCACAGTCAAAATAAGTTGTGAATCGTACACGATGGAAACAGACTGGCCAACGGGATTTCTTATTTTCTCGTTGTTGCTAGCTATTATTCATTTGGGATCTACTCAGACGACATTAGTTACTGGCGCAACTACATATGACCCAACAGTTTTGCCAACGACAATACCAGACGAAAACGCTACCACACCTGAGCCCAAAACTAAACTAACAATTGGACTACTCAGCAATTTATTTGGAGAAAACACTGGAACTATTTTCGTCGCGGGTGGGATTAGCTATGCGGTCGCAGAGATTAACGATGATCCAGATATCCTACCTGATTATGAACTTGAAATAGTAAGACAAAATGCCGGGTGGACAAAATTAACGTTTAACCCATTTTCATTCGAAACTGGAATAAATGAACTGTCCAGTATTAAAGGTCTTACTACACTTGGCGAGAACCACGTTAATGTTGTCATCGGCCCTGACGAGTTCTGCACCACCGAGGCAAGAATCGCAGCAGCATGGGACATGCCAATGATATCTTACGTAAGTGAATTATGCTATATCCTATTTGAAGTTAGTTAAACTGAAAAGATTGCAACATAATTTGTTCATTAAAAGCATTATAGATTTGTTCAAGTGAAGTTTGGATTTTGAAGTATTATGCCTTTCGAATTGTATTTTCTATTGTGCGATTATTGGGATAAGTAGTCAGTGTGGTTTACGGGAGTGTTTGGGTACTGTTTGTAATGGCAATATTTTGTGCACATTTCATGTCTGGGCTCCCACGTAGCACGCTCCTAGACTGCAGCAATTTATAGCGGAATGCACCTATCTGTCAGAAGACAACAATGCCCGACGCCGCACATGTCACAAAGATGTTGTCCTTCGGCAGAGTGACGTTCCATTAATAATTTGTATGTGTTTTTGTATTATGTCTATGCCAGGTTGCGCTTTGTCATGCAACACAACTTTTATATTAAAAAAACCCCATAGATTCCGATTATACAGTCCCAGACGCCATTTTAGATGTGTTGTGGTAGCCATGTCTTGGACTACGGATATGGAATCGACAACACAGGTACTTTTCATTGACAGGTACTTCTTTGTTCACAAGTCTCCGGGTTTAGTTTGTGAACCGCAAAGAACCTCAAAGAACCGCAAATCGGAACATACATACGGTAATCGATGTACTGAATGTGTATTCCAACGCGAAAGTCAGTCAAGTATATAGTGTTGTTATTTGAGTTTAATGCAATAGCTACTTGGTTATTGTGAATCCTGTTGGCATTCATAACCGTGTTCTAGCGTGGTGCCTGAACACCCACCGTAGCTTGTGATCAATACGACTCACTCCTTTCTCCTTCTGCAAATTAACGTGCGTCTAGTACACGGCGAATGAAGGACGGTTAAGGTCACATGCAGCCGGTCATACATACATAATATGCATGCTACTCAGCTATAACGTTACAATGCAAACGCATGAAGCACTTATTGTTCGAATATAGTCTGGATCGTGGAATTGAATACAAAAAAACGTTCTATTCCGCCATGATTCTTTTTGAAACCTATTTTTAAAACAAGATCCTGTATCAACTATTCGGAGGTTGCAACGCGGGGCAATATATCCAGTACTGTTTGTTCGATTGATTGCAAATTAACCAAGAAAGCGCTGATAGGCTTGAACGTAAAACTCACGTTTCCGTGCGAGGAAGGATACTAGTTTTGTTTGAGAGACAGACTCGTGTTGCTATTGATCTTGACCTTCCGTTAAAAACAAAATCTTAAAATCTGGCAGATTCCGGTTCATTCATTTAGTTTCTTTTGAAACAACTTTCATATCGGCAATGTAGTAGCTGTTGTCAACGAGTAGATGAGTTCAAGTGGTTGTGTCTAACAACGCCGCGCGATGGTTAATTAATGTGGGGCCAAATCAATTACGGAAACAAACTCCTATTTAATATAGTGTTGACCAGGCACGTCATATCGATAATCGAGCATGATATGTGTCACTCTAATATGTGATGAAATATACCAGTAGGTCTGAATATTCACCGGAGAGTTCCCCTATACTTTGTATTAATTAATACCACACACCTGAACCAGTGATAGAACGATTAGGCAATACCTTGCACTGTGAAGAGATATATTGATTTGAATTTATACGACCCAGTTACTTTAGGTTGCACGGATTTCGAATCGAATCGAGAATTTTTACTTCTGAATATGACGTCGATTTTTAGTACATACTAATAAAATATGCGCGATATCCCTCTGGGCAATGCCCGAGGTGATTTTGGACATTAAAAAACATTCCGACATCCGGGGATTGGAATTATTGCTAATCTCACGCCATTAAAGAGACTGTGTACTCACTTGACCAGACGTGTGTGTAACGAAGTTGTTAGTTTGTCGTGAATAGGAATTCAATTCAGAGTATCGCATTAACAACATAATTAGGAGGTTCATTTATTACCTTTTAAAAAATACATCAACTTAAAACCATAGAGGTAAAAGACAGACCTCTACGGTAAAACTGATTGTTGCTAATAATTCATTCACTACACGTGGTGGTATATCCAGCCGTTACGTAACTGTTACGTAAATTACGTAGAAATAATCAAAACATTTTAAATAAGGGTAAACATCATAAGATGAATACAAATGTTATTCGAATTTTGAATTGGCATTTAATACTGTGGAAAGACTTAATGGGAAATAATAACAATAAATGCGTATATGTTTATTCAACCAAAATGGTGTTTTCAAAACAGACACACGACCTTTCATAAACACTGAAATAGATATCGTGAAATTTCCATGACAACAACTGTTTCAACATTGATAACACTAACACCAAGACAACGACTTTGAGTAGACGTCTTGTCTTAACGGGACTGTTTTTTGTCGGTGTCAATTTGTTTTGATTCAATGGAGTATTTGTAATGCGTATCCATAGTTACATCACACTGGAGTTTCGAATTTAATTTTTTTGTTTTTACTGTCACATTAAAACACGACCAGAGCTTCAGTCACAGTGGTGTATACGCAATTTAACTTTTACATTATAAGTACACACAAGAATACAAGGCGGACCAGCTGCCGAAATGAACAATATAGCCGATAATAGGTCAGCGTGGCAGTTACGAAGTCAGCCGATCAGCAGCTGGTCATCTCGGAGAAACGACGCGCAATTTTTTTTTATCCACCGGTAACGTTCGTCTTGGTGGGGTATTCTTTGCGATTAATAAGTATCATGGTTGCCATGGAGAACGGAGTAAGTGATGTTAATTGCTACCCTGATGAGGAAATCGTCAGTGAAGTATGGAAAAATCGTACATACGTTGTATTCTTGTTTGGGATTGTTTGTGTTTTTGTTGTGGGATTGAATAAACACAAAACCGCTAAGACACAATACTTTTAGCTATTGTATATTTCGCAGGGGTATATGCCACTATTTCACTCCTATTTTCTTCCACACATCGTCTTTCTTAGTAGAACAATTAAAACATTCTTGACTTGGTCATTCTGGGTGTTCATGGTATCGGATATGAACCATGATATGGATACCGGAACGGAAGGTCATGGGTCGCTCGTAAACCCGCGTGTAATTGGACAGTTTTGAGCAGTAATTACCAAAATGTGACAACAAGCCATAAAAATTACCGAGTAAACCACGTCACAGTAAGGGAGTAGTCACACTGTGGTGGCTGCAGTGGTCATAAATCAACTAGCCTGGCTTCTTATACGATCAAACCGTTTTTAGGAGAACGGACAAACAATCGTTATTTGGAATCTTTTGTTGTTATACACTTTCTTCACACACTGTGTACACCCTTAACACCATTGTTATATCTCTCGATTCATCCATTTACGGCATGTCACGCGTTGTTTGACAGTCTCGCCAACAACACAATTATGACGTAATTGGTTGTGTAGTGCCTTAGTTGTGCTGTACTTGCCTGGAACGACAACAACTACAATGGCGCTCTTCACGCAGCTTTAAATTTGTTTATGTTTATATTTTCAACCTGGCGTTTAGTCATATTTTTGAGGAAAAACAAATTTTTGGAATATAATGAGTAATAACGAGCATACAGCTACTCTGAACTTTAAATAAAAGGATCTACTGGTAGAAGGAAGTAAGATATCTCGCTTATCATTCCGACGCAGGCTGTTCCACGTGCGTAATGAAATCGTACAAAGCACGAACGATCGCAAAGATATAAACCCGATAACGACTGGGGTTGAAGGTCGTTTGTTATACCAAAATAAGAGCAGCTTTTCTGTTGGGAAAACGCATTAAAAATAATTGAGTTCATAAATGTATTCTGTTGAGGGAAATGGCAAACGCGACGTTAATTAACTGGTAAAGAGTGTTGGTTGCCACTTATAAGACCCCTATGAAATAAGAAATCAGCCGTGCGAATTTGTATCAGTTGCTATAAACACAGACCTTCGAAAGATATATACTATAACACCTTAATCCGCTGCCTGAGACAGAGCAATGCCAGCCCAGAGTTGGTACTTCCGTGATAGATATAGAATGGCAAAGGTTTAAATAATTGGCATATTAATCATTGTGTTAGCGAGATATTGGAAATATTGACGTCGGGGATGTTCATTCACACACTCTGTATACATACGACAGTTGTAGCGAGCTCACAGACGGGAAAAAATCCACGATTACGTCATTTTACACAACGCTAACGCATGATTGATGTACGATTCGGAAGAGCATTGGCCGACAATTGTTTCTTTTGTGTTTTCTCAAATCATTGACACAATCAGAAAATAAAAAAAATTGCGATTGCATTCCCGGGAGTCGTTTTTGATAATAATAAATACATAGTTACTGTAAGATTGAAAATGACTGCATTGTCTGTTTTTAAATCAATCGTATTTTTACACGGCTATTAGTACGACTATACACAAGTGGTTGAAATTGGCTGATTTAAATATAGGGTGTATTCAACAATTTCGATATAAATGCTTTGGTAAAGTCCGATTATATACGCCGTGAATTAAAATGACAGAAATTCAATCACATTCCACCGTTTCGACGACGGTTCCTTTATACTGATTTACGAGAAAATATTGTTTTCAGATTTTAAGTCAATCTAATATACAGAGTCAGTTCCCAATAGCTTATCGTTATTTATAGATTAATTAATCACTAACAAATTCTGTGAACAAATATAAGAGGTTATTTGTGAGTAACCAACCTCATTCAATTAGCTTAATAGGAAATTATTAGGAAAAATAATGGTTAAATTAAAGAAACAGCATTTCTTGATGGTTTTAATCGTGTTGAAAAATCAGTTTTTCGATTTTCTGTCATTTATAATTCTTCAGATGTGTTTGCATTATTGTGTTGTAATATCATATCATATCTAGATGTCGTGACGTGATTATAGTGGAACGTTTGAAGAATTATTAGTCGGCCAGCGGGAGATTGTGTGTATATAACCCTAATTGGCCTGCGCCAGGTTGAAGTACTAAGTGAAATTAAATTACAAATGAACGTATACCCAAACAACTGTAAT